CCCTCCACTATACCACTGCGCTGAAGTTTGATTACCTTTCTTTTATACACCCTGTATACTAGAATCATATACTGTGTTCAACGACACGTCTCTTGAGTGTTATGCTTTCAGAATCAGTTAAGTTTATATACTGTAGCTAGTATATTGCTATTTGATGAAGCCATATTTATTTAATTTGTTTTGAGGAAGGTTTGAAAACTTTAAATTTTACCCGGAGGAAATTTGAACAGGTTTTGCAACTCTGGGGGCTACGCCTTTTAGACATATAAAAGTCATTACAGCATCCTTAAAGTGCCTATGACACGAAATTTCACCCCAAATGTTTATGATTGCATTGTAAAGAACACTTAAAATGACTTAATAATTTCTTTTATAGAATTTTGGTAACTTGCTTCATTTGCAAGATATTCAACTTTGTTTCATATGCAAATATCACCGGTGTGACATCACATCGCGTAATGACATTTTGAAAACGCAATATATTACCTTGATAAAATACTTTTACAAACAAATACAGAGGGTTAATTACCAGTTATGAAATTAATACATATACAAGAGCAATTTTTAAGATTTTTAGATACGTATTCGTCAAGAAAACTATACTTTTCTGAAAACTCATTATGTGATGTGATGTCACACCGGTGATATTTGCATATGAAACAAAGTTGAATATCTTGAAAAGGGAGCAAGTAATCAAAATTCTATAAAAGAAATTATTAAGTCATTTTAAGTGATCTTTACAAGAGGGCCCTGAAGGGGTAAAATGGGAACTGGGATTGATCTATTTTTAGACTGGGAAAATGGGATTTGGGTTGCTGGGACTGGGATTTGGCCACTGGGAATGGGAAATGAAGTCCTCAAAAATGGGAATGGGATTGAGGTAATGCGAGTCGATTCCCAATTTTTCTACATTTTAAGTGTTTTGAAATACAATTTTGATCCGTTTTCGGTGTCTTTGGTCATGATTTTTGTTGTCAACTATATTATTCACAGCACTACCTGCGAACAGGCACACTCTGGCGTCCGGAATTCTGGGTTTTCTGATTATGCGTGTCTCAGAATGCTGCAAATGCCATTTCCGGGATTCAAATTTAACTAGAAAATACATGCATGTAGAAACCCTCGCCTTGCTGACAAAACCATTGTATTTTCCGAACATGAAGTATCTAAGTTGTCATGGTAACACGATAATTTTTTAAGAATATTCTTACAAATGAAAAATCGCCTATAAAAATCACTTTTAATCACAAAATTATTAATTTCCCAACATATATATGTTAGGTATGTTATTATACGTAATATAAGCCTCGATTTAAGGTAAAATTCAACCACAAACGCTTCGCAAAGCGGTTTAAAGTCATTTGTGTTCTTTAATATAAAACTAAACTGCCTTTTAAAATGGCTTTATCGATAAACTTTGAGTTTGCAATAAAATGATTTAAAATTCTCGCTTGCAAATAACTTTGCTTTCTTATTTATTTAAAAAATTCAATATCATAAAAAAGGGAATCAATATTATTTGCTTTCTTTTTTATTTAAAAAATTCAATATCATAAAAAAGGGAATCAATATTAAAGATACACTGAAATGATATGCTGTCTTGTTTAGTTGTTTCATATACGCAAAACCCGTCGGGTTTTAAATCCATTATAAAATCAATATTTAAAACAAACTTACCTTCGTTAACGTCGGCTCCCTTCTTTTAGCCGATTCTTTCGCAGTTCCTTTCTCAGAGAGCTTTTGAAATTTACAAAATCTTGCAAAAATGCGAGCAAAAATGAAATATATTTGCAAGAAATTTATCAATCATCAAATCAACTCAAGAAATATTTGCTATTTCGCTGTCGTCATGCAGTCGTTATAATGCAAACTTTAAATTGGACCAATCAGTGTCCGCTTTTCGTGACAGTCCGCCATATTTTTGAGATCAGTGAGGATGACCACCCACCCAACACCGTTGGTGACCCACGCCCGCGATATTTGATGAACTTTAGGCTCCGCTAATGCTTTCGTTTCCCCGGGTGTAATAGCCGGGGGGAATTAGTACCCTCGCACGGCGCTTCGCGCCGTCGGCTCGGGGAAAATTTTCTGTGCCTTCGGCACGAGCCACCCCCCCCCCGATATTTCATAATTTCATTGCACACACGGTGGCTTAAAAGGTCTTAAAACTGTTTATTCTAACGATAAATAAAGGGTTTTTTGTTGACTGGGATTTCAATAACTCGGACTGGGATTTCTAATAAAAATCCAACTGGGACTGGGATTTTGCCAAAATTTCAGGTGGGAAATGGGATTGGGACCCCCCTTCAGGACCCTCTTACAATGCAACCATAAACCTTTGGGGTGAAATTTCGTGTCACAGGTACTTTAAGATTCAACGTACTATCTACAGGTACGTAACTAATCGTACTACAAAATTCTGCACACTCTGTAATTTATTAATATTTTTCTTTGAAGTTAATGACCACACCGATGAGCAATAATACAACCTGTTGAACACTAAAGCTTTAATTATAGTAGTAAGTTTTTCTGTTCCCAGCAGATGTTTCACACGACTGATTTGGCAAAGAGCAGCCAAACATTTTGAAACAACTTCTGTAATATGGTCATCATAGGTCAGGAAGCTATCCAAGATAATACCAAGCTATTTTGCTGATGGGACGGGATAAATATTGTTATATCTGTGTATTTGTCTTATAAGCAGAAATACTTCGCTTTCACATCGGCAATAATAACAACAATTTTATTAAAAATATCAGGCTCTATATATACTGTACAGTAGTTTTCATCCCCGAGCCGACGGCGCGAGCGCCGTGCGAGGATACTAATTCCCCCCGGCTATTTACACCCGGGAAAACGAAAGCATTAGCGAAGTCTAAAGTTCATCAATAATCGCTGGTGTGACCAACGATCTTGAGTGGGTGCATGGTCATCCTCACTGATCTAAAAATATGGCTGATTATGAATTTTTTTTTTTTTTTCCCTGTGTTGGTGTTGTGTACTCAGGTGAATAATATGTTTGCGATGTTACTCTGAGTACACCACACCAGGCGAGCTTGAAAAATATGCCCGGCCACGGTGGGATACGAACCTACGACCTTTGGAATACTAGCCCAATGCTCTTCCAACTGAGCTACGCGGTCAGGACGGTTCGAGTAAGTGCCCCACCGTGGCCGGGCATATTTTTCAAGCTCGCCCGGTGTGGATATGCACTCAGAGTAACATCGCAAACATATATGGCTGATTGCTTGTAGGAGTGGGATAAGCAAAATTTCAATTTTAAAAGACATATATTTGGAAAATCGTTTCATATGCAACAAGCTTGAAGCAATTTTGTTTGAAGAAATGAGAAGAATTGATTTACTCCCGCTATGCAAATATTCTCGTGTTCATTGACTCCTTGATCGTATCAGGAACAATGTTATCTCCATTTGAAAGCACAAACTGAGGCGTCAGCGTTGTCAGGCGTTAACTCTGGAGGATGGCTTGAACAGGCGTGAACTCCACAGGATGATTTTCTTCCAAGGAAGTCGATTCGGACGATTTAATAGCATCGTTAACTCTGGAGGATGGCTTGAACAGGCGTGAACTCCACAGGATGATTTTCTTCCAAGGAAGTCGTTTCGGACGATTTAATAGCATCGTCGATTCGGACGATTTAATAGCATCTTCGATTCGGGCGATTTTTATAGCCGATTCGGGCGTCTAGCAATACTGGAATTCAAACTCTGCACAAGGTCTCCTTGACAATGCATCCGCATTTGCGTGACTCTTACCAGCTCGATGTACTACCGTAAAATCATATTGTTGTAGATTTTGTAACCACCGTGCTAATTGTCCTTGAACATCTTTGAAACTAACCAACCATTGCAAAACTGAAGAGTCAGTTCTTGTAAAAAAATGCCGTCCGTACAAGAAATGGTGGAAATGTTTCACCGAAGAAACAACAGCAAGTAATTATTCCGCGTCGCACAATAATTTCTCTCCGCCTTATTAAGCGTTCAACTATAATACTCTATTACACATTCCAATCCGTCCTCAACATCCGTCGTAGGGACTTTCCACCTGCTGGGAAAGACTCTGCCATCGGCTGGTCACGTGTCTCCCAGAATCTGTGAGATAACAAAAAAAATCAATTAGGGTGGGTAACAAGTACGTTTTGTCATTGAGCAAGGAGTGAGCGAAGAAATAACGCAGAAAATATGCAGGAAACATTGATTGTATATTTTATTTGTCATGAATACTATCAAATTACACAATAAGGAATATCAAATTTCATTGTGGGAAGAATGTCGGTGAGGCGTGAGCAAAGATATATCAGATTTCAATATACAAATATGCCGATACGGTTCGTCGAAGAAATCGCACGTCGTCACAAACGTTACAAGAAAATATATTTATACACCGGTGCCGACCGATGTAGCTGTTATTTAGCTGTTGATGTCCTTCCTAAAGATTTATTTAGTATTTTTGATATTTGGATGGTAAACCAAAAACTATCAAATACTTAATAGTGAATATATAAAATACATATTTTTTATTATTGTTTATTAAAATGAACTCTTTTGTAACCAAAAAGGTGAAATTACAGAAGTTCTTAGCAACATGAAGTTATGGCTAAAAAATATCATACTATAACTATTTTACAAAAAGAATAAATTGTGATGGTCAAATACTAAAATAACTAGGTTATAATCCTACTATTATTTTTAAAAATCATTTGGGGAAAAATAGACTGTTTAAAGCGGTCCGCTTTGCAGATATAATTATTAAATTTACGTGGTAATCTTAAGTCATAATTTCATGTATATGGATCTGGAAGCAAGTCCGTCGTTTTATCATTATTCATATTTTGTCAAAGGCTTCCACGCTGGTCGTGCAGTGTAGTGATACCCGTAATCTTTAATGCCTCGCCATAACTAGAAGAGGGGACAATGATCTTTAATTAATGCGCGTTTCTGGATTCGTTCGATGTCTTCAGATAAAAAATTTTGAATGTTATAATGCCAAACTTGCCAAGCATACTCAAGTATCGGTCTTACAATATTACAGTAATGTACACAACGATCAAAGTCTTCGTATCCGCATTAGACCGTTTTAGTAACCTCAGCATATACAGTCGTTTACTCGACTTTTTAACGATATTATCCACGTGTAGATTCCATTTTAAGTTATTTTGGATCACGAGACCTAAAATCTTTTCCGATTCGACGAGCTTAATTGGGTTACCAGACACAGTCAGGGGTTCAAAAGATATTTTATCTTTAGCAAAATCGATTATTAGCTCTTTGCATTTGGAAATATTAAGTTTCACGTTATTATTAATAGTCCAAGTAGTGACGTCATTCACTACTTCTTGAAGGTAAGATGGGCAATTTGGTCTGATACATTCAGTGGCATTAGTATCGTCGACGTACTTCCAACGGTCTTGCCAATCTTCAAGTAAGTCGTTTATCATGACCAAGAAAAGGATTGGTCCCAGTACGGTTCCTTGGGGCATTCCGCCATTAACTCTTTGCCATTCGGACAGACAAAGGCAAATCTTGACACGTTGTTCTCTTTCTATTAGGAAGTTTTTAATCCAGCTAATTATAATTGGTGGGACTTCCATGGAAGATAGTTTTCGAAGTAAAATTTTATGGTCAAAATGGTCAAAAGCCTTGGCGAAATCCAATAGGAAAATCCTTGTAACATTTTTTGGCTCATCGTATCTACTGAGTAAATGGTGAATGAAGCTCAAAAGTGCGTGTGTTGTCAACGATCCCTTTAGCAAACCGTATTGCCGCTTATCAATCTTATCAATAATCGATTTCATCAGCCAATCAGCAATGAGTCGTTCAGATATTTTAGCTAAGGTAGGTGTAAGAGGAAGTGGTCGCAAATCCGTACTAATATCATTTAAATTATTTACTTTTTGAATCGGAATAACCTCCGCTTTTTTCCAGATAGTAGGGACCAATGATTGTTGTATGGATGCATTTAATATGGATACTATTGGTAATATGAACAGGACCCGACGACTTTGAAATTGAAATTGTGGATAATTTGCGATAAACGCCAAATTCGCTAATAATAAGTTCAGATGGAATTTCAGAATAACCGATTTCGTGTTGTATGCCGACAGGAGTGCTATGTAACGGGTCTAGGTGTTTCGTAACAGTGACGATGGCAGCGTTTATTTTCTCAGCAAGTTCATTACCTCTGATAGTCCTGTCTTCCGAGACCATTGACAGTGGTACTTGCTTTTTAGGGTAGCCTGCTAATTGTTTAACAGTGTCCCACCATTTCTTATTATTGTTCTTAGATTTCAACTCATTTAACTTGGTATTGATGAAGGTGGATTTTAATCGTTTACACTGTCTCCCTAATACATTGATTTCGGATTTTGCGATAGAGTGTACGATTACCTTGACGGAAAGCCTTTTGCCGCTTTGCGATAAGATTTTTGTAGTTTGGGGTTATCCTAGGTTTATCGCTGGTATGCAGCTTGACCGACTTCTTTGGTAGAAAATAGTCTAGTCCGGATTCAATGACATTATAGAACATATTTAATTTCGTTTCACATGACACAGTTGCTACAAACCCAACCAATTAACTTTCGTTAGCCATTCACTGAAAGCACGTTTTGCACTCACGTTTCCTTGCCGAATAATTAGTTTATTATGCTCGTTTACCCTGCGTTGCGGCTATCAGAGAAATGACAGCCTGCACGAAACCCCCTGCTTTGCCGTATTTACTCGTTCTCTCAGAGAACGATAAATCTGATTGGTTCAAAATGAAAAAAATATGCTAATTTATGCTAAAATTCATACAAATACGGCGGATGTATTATTGAGAGGCGTTTCTTTGATTTTTGCATTCAAAAGAGCTTAAAGCCACGATTTGCGGTTCAACAATAAAGGTATTTACGAACTTGGTTCACGAAGCTCTAGAGATATTGACTGTGGTGTCTTCGTTGGATTGCTATCTGTTAGCAGCGCCTCTTTCACAAGCGTGTTCGTTTTCATCAATTCATCGACGACAAATAGATTTTTTCTTCATGATTTTGTAGCTAATATAATTTTGTGCCAGGAGAGAATTGCTGTAAATGCTTATGTCTTATGAACAGGGCTTGCTCTCTCTGAAGTGATGGCTTTAGACACCTTTAATATTCTCTTCTCTGCATCGCTCGAAACTTTAATAACATTTAATACATCACGGTTGACCGCTGTCGAAACTATAAATTATATTTGTACGTGTGCGAGAAAGCTACGAAATATCGTAGAGATACGGACTGCAAGCTACTTGTGACAACGATGGAGATTGCCCTAGGCCTAGCGCTATTCCCACAGACTTAGTCAATTTTCTTTAGCCGAAATCCGTATATCAGTTTGGTTTTGAAATTTGCGAACATACAGCAATCTATATATTTATATTTCATTTTGACAAGTAAAATTGCAAACGTAAACAATCTGTGTGATTGGCCAATTTTGACATCTGTTTAAAAGTGGGCGTAGCCCGCAGGCGTAAACAATCTGTGTGATTGGCCAATTTTGACATCTGTTTAAAAGTGGGCGTAGCCCGCAGGCTAAATGGGCGTAGCCCGCAGGCTAAATGGGCGGAAATGGCAAAGCATGGGTTTCGTGCAGGCTCTACTTTCCCTGAGAGCCGCTGCTCAGAAATGGCAAAGCATGGGTTTCGTGCAGGCTCTACTTTCCCTGAGAGCCGCTGCGCAGGCTAAGTTGGTTCTGTCTGTTAATCTTTTGGAGAGAAAAAAATACAGAGTTATGGTCGCTACGACCAAGTGGTGGAATAATACTGACTGGGGAACAAAATCACTCATATTTGTTAAGATCAAATCCAACGTAGCTTCGTTTCTTGTGGGGGCTTTGACAATTTGCTTTAGAGAAAAGTGTCCAAGCAGGGATGAAATCGGGCACCTGTTAAAATCGCCCACGAAAAAATGCCTGCATTTTGATATATGACGTGTGCAAGGTCAAGTTTTGCAATTAGATGATCGGTAAACGCTTTATTCTCGCTACTTGGAGGGTTATAAGCTACGCAAACGATCAGACACGAAATCCTCGAAATAGTTTATGTGGTCGGATATGTAACCAAAGTGTCTCAAAATTATCATCATGTAACTCGGTTAGTTCTTAATTAAAAGGGATGTACGATTTAACAAAAGCGCAAACCCCTCCACCGGTCCATAGCTCGGTATATGGACAGCTGCGTCGTCGATATTATCGTTCAACCATGTTTCTGTAATGAACGCAAAGCTAACACCATTTAGGCTCATAGTTCATTCTAAGTCTTCAACTTTCGGCAATAATGATCTCGAATTTGTTAGAAAAAGGGACAATTTATGATCGCTCGGCCGAGTCAATTTTCCATAGATTGATTAGTTATTCTATCAGGCATGGGCGTACCGGAAGGAAAAATTTAGGGGGGCGGAAAGAAATTTGACCGACTTTTACCGAAAATTTGCCCGACAAGTACCGAAAAAATTTTTTCCGGAATTTATTTTGGCGACCCCCCCCCCCCGCGCCCCCGTCGCCAAAACAATTTCGGTCAGTGTACCATTTTAGGGGTCAAAAAATTTTTCCGGACATACCAAAATTTTCCGGAACCTATTAAAAATTTTGGAAACATCACAAAATTGACCACAAAATTTACGGAATTTCTCCCATTTATTTTTTTAATAAACCAAAATGGCCCGACTGTTCAGCGAATATTGCCCGACTGACCAACAAACTGGGGAGGGGGGCTACCGCCCCCCCCCAGCCCCCGGCCCAGTACGCCCATGCTATCAGGGGTGCGCATAGGGTAGAGGTCTCGTGATTCAATAAACGGGGGGTCGTAGGCGAGGGGGATAAGTTGGTTGATGTAACCATGCAGGTCTTGTTGAGGTCAAAATCAAGTTGGAAGGGTATGACCTGGAAACATGGCCCGTCGGATTTTGGGGACATTGTGGTGCAAAGATGTTATTAGAACCCGGATGATGGGAAAGATCGCGTCTATCATCCGTAAAAAAGGACAATGTATTCTGGACTCAGGGGCGTAGTAAGCGTCTAAAAGTCGGGGGGAGGCAGGCTTTGAGGCGCACTTTTCGAATAAAAAGGCCTCTGAAAGAATTTTCCCGGAAATGTTGGCGACGGGGGGAGGAGGGGGGAGGTCATCTCAAAAAAAATTTCCGAACATAACAAAAGTTTTTCCGCAAATATCACATTTTTTTTCTAAGCATGAAAAATTTTTCCGGACATACCAAACTTTTTTCCGGATATATGATATTTTTCCCGGAAATGAAAAAATATTTCCGCAAATAACATAAATTCAAGTTTTCAAAAGTGCCCTTTGGGCAAAAAATGCAATCTGAACGACATTTTTCACGCAAGAAAAGGGCACTTTGCTCCTGGAAAAAGGGCACTTTGGAAAACTTTGGGGGGGTCTGCCCCCCGTTCCTACGCCCCTGTCGGGACTTATCATGTTGTGGTTTAGCGTGATTTCCTTGTTGAATATTCGGTCCGCATACTGCAGGTAAAACATTTTTATGCAAAAAGTCACATCTCGCTCCTTTCATGGCAATGACCCTTCCTTTTCAGAAATGGGCACGGCACTAATGCTTTTTCCTTTTTGCTTGTGTTAATACGATAGCCTCGGGGAGTTTGTTTGGAAGATTGAATTTCAATGGACATTGAAGTTGCATTGTTTTCATTCATCCTAGTTGGTGTTTTAACTGCAGATGAGATTTCAATGTTAATTGGACTTACATTGTTTATGTTCAAGTTCTCCAATTGTGCACCATTACAAGGTGTTGTTTCGGCTGGATTATTAATTACACTAATAGCTGACCCACGATCATTGTTGTCCGTCAAGATTATATTATTCCTATTCAAATGAACTGTCGTTTTATCTGCAGATGAAATTTCCTTGTTAATTAGGCTTAATTCGAGCATGAAGTTTACAATAGATGACAATTTAGACTTAAATAATGAATTGTCTTCGTTAAGTACATGAATTAATTCGTCTTGATGTCGAATTACGGCTTCCAAATCCTTCAATTTTACTCGGAGTAATTTTATCTCAGACTCATTATCACTTTTAGAGGTTACACTGAGCAACCGAGGTTCGAGGATTGTCATTTCCAACTTTAAATCCTCCAATTCCGCGTTTACAACTCTGTTAGTACAGCTGCAAGTACAGTTACAAATGTGGCCACATACCTCAGGTTCATTGATGCATTTCATATCCCCGTCAACAACACAGCTTACTGTTTCATGATTTTGTTTATTCACATCAATAACTTCAACTTCCATTGATTTCTCCAGTAATATAACTTGGCTTTCCTCGTCGGCTGTATGCAGCTATTTCAATTAAGATTGTCGACGAGCAAAGCGGAAAAGTCGAATACAGGCGCGAAAGGCTGCTGGGAATCCCTATGAATATTCATTAATTTGTTAGCGATTCCCAGCTCGTGGACAACCTTAATTGAAACAAGACGCTCTGTTGAGCGTTTAGTCGCTGGGGCTATTAAAATAAGGTCTTTTGCGCAGGGCTTCTGCGCTTATTGCTCTCTCTTCTGAGAGCAGTGTATAAGCGCGGAAGCCCTGGGTACGAGGTTGATATCATTTATTGGATTTATCCGGCTTAGGACAACTTCGAGGACACTGGAAACCAGGCTTAAACAAATTTATTGCAACTCCACTTTTTGACCCTTCAACTGATTTTCTCAAAAAATTTAATCCCCCCCCCCCCTTCTAGTAAATTATTTATACTCATGGGGTCATGTCCCCACCTTTTGCCCCCTCCCCCCTCTTCCATAAATAAGGACTGGTCCCTAACTGCAGGAAATATATGTGCACTTCACAGAACATTTATAACAATTCATAATTTATTACTTTTGCCTCAGGCTGGGTAACCACAACAAAAGTTGCCAAATAGGCCCTTTGAAGGTAGCTTGCATGTCAGGCTCGATGCTTGAAATAGAGCCTGTTATACCATGTGAGCAAAGTCCTCTCATATTTCTTCTCGGCACAGCACGGAGAAGCGAGAGAGACTCTGCAGAACTTGTGTATAAATTCATTTCAGCATGCGCGAAGGTTGCTAAGCAACTGCCTATTTCCCAGAAGAAGATTTAATAAATAGTTTCCGGTTCGGATCAAAACCGGTTATAAAACTGGTATCAAACCTGAAATTACTCATAATTATCCAAGTTTTTGGATTGTTGGCTCCACAAAGAATATACACAAGTGCTGCAGAGTATCTCTTGTGCTGAGAAGAAATACGAGAGGACTTTGCTCGCAGGGTAAGCCTGTCACTGAAGTCAATAAAAAGTGGACAGTGATTGGGATGCACAAAAATAACAACCAATCAAAATGGCGATTGTTAATTATGTATCAGTCAATTCCAGCAGTGCCCATCCCCCCGAGGTATTAGCCATTTCTGGGAAGAAAATGGCTATGTCCACAAGCCATTTGCAATCAAATTAAATATCAGTTTTCCAGCAAATCTACCAAATCCCCCATGATGGAAAATGTCAAAATCCTCACCCTGGGCAGGGCTAAAAAATATTGGCAATAGCCCCACCCCCGTGATTGGGAAAAGCTGCAAAGGCCCAGGGGTGGGAACTGCTGGAATTAATTGATACATTAGATTATCAAAGCTAATTTAAAATATGACAATAACGGCCAACTTTTCCACCAATATCTCAAAACTAAATATTCCAATTTTCATTGAATGGCCAGGAATTACATATTAAATAATAATAATAATTGTTATTGACTGCAGCAAAGGCAGTCATTAACATGGCCAAAAGTAGTTAAAGTACAATTACAAATACGGAATATCATTACATACACAACAATTTGACATTACCTTATAAACGAAGCTATTTATTTCTGACCAATGGGAATTTTGCGTACGAATCATGTGCATCAATCCTTTTTACTGACCTCAGTAGCAGGCTTTATTTCAAGCATAGAGCCTGACACGCTAGTTACTTTTAATAACCCATTGAGTTGCATTGACCCCCCCACACATATTTCAAGCATAGAGCCTGACACGCTAGTTACTTTTAATAACCCATTGAGTTGCATTGACCCCCATACTTAATTTCAATACATTGTTTTCACCATTGTGTTTATACAAGCTTGCAAATTTACTAGTAGGAATTTCCATTGTGTTTGCAGCCCTCACACTTTGTGTTTCATTATGGCATTTTGACCTTGAAAGAGTCTATTACTGTGGCTCCAACATTTTCCCGTTCGGCGTTAGAAACACAATACATTGATAATAAAATGACTGAAATATTACAGATTTAAAAGCCTGACACCTAGCGGCAAAGTTTAAGTTTCACACAAGTAGTGACGAATGGTGACCACTGTGGTTATATTTCGGTCTTGTTAGGCTACACCATGTTCTTTTGACCACCTATCCGTAACAGGATTATTTGCATCAACAGCCGTAAACAAAGCACCCAAATAAACAGCAGTTTGCGAATATTATTGTTGCAATTTACAAAGGTTGCGGCCCGTTCCAACTTTGTAAAATTGAAAATTGTGAACTTTTGTCCTCTATTTCAAGCTTGTAGCCTTCCAAGTTTACTCACATAAAATGAATTTTGCTTTATAAAGTCTGTTTCATCGGAAAACGTTTAAGGTTCATCGGAAAAATAAAAAAAATATGTACAAAATCGATGATACCATTCGCTCGCAGTAAGCGGCCATCTTGAATTCAGCGACGAATAGTAATGACGTAATTTTTATTTTTTATTAATGACGTAATTGTCATTTTGTGGCTAACGATCCAAGATCCGACACAAATGCGTGCCGAAACCTAGAGTCGCTGCGGGCTCTGCCCAGCGACTAATAACTGTATGCATCCTCCTTAGCGGATATGTTCGTTATCGGGTTAACAAAATTGTCATCAACGTCTGGGTTGTTATCTTCGCATGTACCGGCTAATTTTTGAAATTCCAACTTTAAGGTTACAGGACACCCTTTTTGACGTTTTGCGGAAAATCGCTTCTGCGCGCTCAATATCAGTCCGATTTTAATCAAATTTTCACCAAATGTTCTCGCCAGTAAGTGCAAAATGGTCAGGCATATTTTTCAAGCTTGCCCGGTGTGGAAATACACTCAGAGTAACATCACAAGCATCATAAAATATGGTAAAGTTGTAAAATTAACAAACAATAAAATAATGTAAGAATTATTCAGGAAAATCTTAAATCGCGCTACCGTTACGCTTTTGAGTTGTGCTCCTGCTGTTTTTAAGTTATATTCATGAAAATATCATTTTTATACAGTAAAATAGTTGTTCTAAAAAATTGTGTTCGGAAATTTTTGTTTATTTCGTCATTCCGCTGATATGGCGATTCCTTTGACGACTGCAATATATTTCTGAATTGTTTGAGTGAATTGCTCTTTATTATTTAACGAACGCAATTTCGAAGCTGACGTCTTTAGCTATGTCCTGTGAAAATTTGAGAAAAAATGGTTAAAACCCGCAGGAGAACAACTCGTTTAAAAATCAGTAATTACCGTAAAATTCTTCGGGAGAAAATTGAATTTGAATATTACATTTTCAATGTTTTTCTTATTGCAGCGAAATGTATTTTATTAAATAACTCTGCGAGTTTTCAACATTTTTCGTTCAAACTTGGTCAGATAGTTGAACTAGTCTAATGCTTTCATGGAAAACAATAAAAAAATTTTAGGCAAAATTAACACTCAAAGGTGTTCTGTAACCTTAAATAATGTTCATCACTATCTGCTTGAATGATGAGTTTTCGAGATCGTTGACCATACCATTTGATACTGAATTTGGATTCATCGTCACAGAAGAGCTTCACATCCCCGCCAGGCGAACTTCATTTCCCTTGAAGCTCTAAAATGTGTTCGACAAAACACTTTAAATCAGTCAACGTGCCATTCCAAAGATAGATATCGCCGTCATTCGTTAACTTATTTGTGCTCATGATGATACGTTTCGCTTTAGTCGTATCTTTAGTATTAAAAATTTAAGAACACAAGGAATACTGTATTTCTTTTAAATTTTCAAATTTTTATTTCTTTGAGTTTTGTCCCATGAGTACAAGACCTTGTGTTCTTACCCAATCATTAATTCAAAGCAATTAGAGCTGTCAAATTACCACAATACTAATTTGAATTTGAAAAGGTTCACTTTTTTTGAGATACACTGTAGAGTAATTAATAATTATTAGCTTTAGTAATTATTAGCTTTCTTTTTGTGTAAAACTACACAAATTGGCCATCATCACAATCCACTGCCTTCTCGTCAAATTCATTGACATTGTCAATTGGCTCTTCATCTATCTCACTGTTCTCAGAATTGCTGCATTGGCAAAGTTCAGTGCACTTCAAATTTGCTTTAAAACGTGAGCATCTTTTTGTTTTACAAGCCTTTTTGAATTCGCAGCTAACAAATTCCATAAAGATGCTGTCGGCTGTCTGGAGCAGACGCTTGGGTCCCCATGTACCTGGGGTGGAAAAAGTATCAGGCCACGGGACCAAAAATTTAGATAAAGGAGAAATTCAGAGGGAAAATTGTAACCATAAGAAAGAATTTACCTGTTCTGTAGGAATGAGCACAGAAATGAAATTATAAGTGCATCCATCTTCATTCATACTGTGATAGTGTATACATGTACAGATTATAGAGTGATGTAACAAATGTTGCATGGCATATGCATTTTTAGTCAATCTTGGGCACTTGATTTTCAAAATATTCTGGGGGAGCATTGTCCCCTTCATAGCTGCTCTTTGTGTCGAGGTTTCTCCCCATGAGCGGCTGCTCACTCGAGCAGAACATTCCATTCTTTTTGTCTTACGTTAGATATCTTAAACCCGTTAAACTGCAGACACCATTACTCAGCCTGCATATAACATTACTGCAGATACCATTAATCAGTCATGTATTTGTCTGTTTTGGTGGCTACAATTTGATAACTTCCAGTCTGCAAACATGCCGCTACTGTAGTGTGCATGCCAAAGCACTTGTTATAAATTATAAGACAAATTAAAGATTGGCTCTCTTTAAATCTATAAAATACGGATGGATCGATGTTCATTTAAATTTAATAGTCCCAGTTTGATTTTTTGCATATCGTTTAGAAAAGTGAGATGCAATTTTCACTATTTGGTTCAAAACGATGTGCAAATTGCACAGTGGTAATTCGAACCCTGTTAAATCATACATATGTAACAATATCTGACAATACCAAGAATAACATTTTAGAACAGTCTAAAATTCATTGTCATCATCATCAGAATCCTCATCAAGTCCATTATCACTATCAGTTTCCATGAGTTCTGTACTTTCCATATTTTCACATTGGCATAATTCTGTGCATTGTAAATCCATTTTCTTACATGATCATCTCTTGGTGTTGCAGTCTTTCTGCACCATCACCAGATGGATATGGCGGGACCATAGACGCAACTGATCTGGACATCAAATGGGGCCCAATGGAAAGTGCTCCAGACAGTATTCTTGAAATTATATGTAATGTGCATGTGCAAGAAAGGCTGCAACACCAAGAGGTGCTCATGTAAGAAAGTAAATTTACAATGCACTTTAATTATGCCAATGTGAAGATATGGAAAGCACAGAACTGATAGTGATATTGATACGTAAGATAAAAGGAATGGAATGTTGTGCTCGAGTGAGCAGCCGCTCTTGGGGAGAAACCTCGACACAAAGAGCAGCTATTGAGAAGGCAATGCTCCCCCAGAATATTTTGAAAATCAAGTGCACCAGATTGGCTAAAAATGCATTTGCCATGCAATAGTTGTTACATCACTCTATAATCTATAATCTATACATTTATACACTATCACAGTATGAATGAAGATGGATGCACTTATAATTGCATTTCTGAACTCATTCCTACAGAACAGGTAACATTCTTTGTATCGGTTACAAATTTTTGGTCCCGTGATCTGATACTTTTTCCACCCCTGTACATGGGGGACCCAAGGACATGCTCCAGACAGCCGACAGCATCTTTATAGAATTTGTTAGCTGCGAATGCAAAAAGGCTTGTCAAACAAAAAGATGCTCATGTTTTGAAGCAAATTTGAAGTGCACTGAACTTTGCCAATGCAGCAATTCTGAGAACAGTGAGATAGATGAGAGCTAATTGACAATGTCAATGACTTTGAATCTTTGATGAGGAGGCAGTGGATTGTAATGATGGTGAATTTGTGTAGTTTTACACGAAAAGAAAGCTAATTGCTATCAATTACTCTATAGTATATGGTATTAATTATAGTATTGTTTAAATATGTACTTTATAAATTCACTATTAAGTATTTGATAGTTTTTGGTTTACCATCCAAATATCCAAATACTACAGTATGTCCATTATTCTGTCTTCAAAATTGAAAATATAAAATTGAAGTTTGTTTCGTCCTTTATTACACGCCATAAAGATGAAATAGTGTACACATAAGTTCATAATCTTGAAAGAATGCATGGGTGTTGACAAATATCTTCGTACAAAGCCGGAAAATACCCTTTGTCGCAATAACATATGAAATTTGAAAATCGTGTTGCTCATTGTTTACATCAAAACTGAATTCACATATCTCAAGAGGAGGCGGAAGTGACCCATCCTGTGTAATTTTCACTATGGCGCGCGAGTGACTGGTTCCAAGAGTACGCATTTTGAGGTATGGCATATAATTATAGTAAAAATGCTATTCCGAAACTCGATCGCAATTTACAAAAGCTGCAGGGTTTATCGACAAAAAACTTTTAGATTTTGGATTCAGCGTGTTTACATCTATAAGAATATGTAAGTATTTTTTAGCTTAGCGACATCTACAGTGAAACTAAACGTTTGAGGGCACTAGCTCACGGCCTATACTGCCCAAGTCCAATATTAGAAGCAACAGTATCCAAAATAGAGTCTCCGTCAGGACATGGATAAGACAATCCGGTGTCGAAGTTAAACATCTCTTTAATGTTTCCGGAGAAGTTTGACATTCTTCTGTCCATTTAAATGGTGTTCCTTGCTTCAGCTACATGTTTTCCTTTTATTATACGCCACGCATTTTCGGATAAATTCATGACTCTGACGGGTAGACTTGTAGGACACTGCAAATTCACGAAAGTCCAGCCACCAGAACATCTCGAGGTATATTTGCTGACTTAATCGGCTCCACACTTCCCCACCATGAAGCAACTTCTTCAGTTAAACACCCCCAAGAATAACGGATTCACTCCGCAGCGGAATAACTGCGTTTTCTGTCGCCATCTGATCATTTCTGATCTCTATGATCAGTTGTGCGATATACCGGAATTGACTGACCTTCGACTTTTAACGTAGCTCCAGCGATGTGAACTTGACAATGATGCCCAATTAAGAAGTCCAACCCAACAATACATGGGTCCACAATTTCTGCCACCCAAGCCTCTTGCCAAGCTTCGACGCAGTCTCCCCAATCACCGTTTTCAAACAGATTTCAACTGGATTTATTTGAACATTAGTCCCAGCTTCCTTTGGAACATCTGGACGCACGATTGTAATATTCGAACCAGTATCAATAACGCACCGACATAAAACATTTTGAATACGTCCTTCGACCCATAGACTGTCATTAACTGCTGACATTGTCACCGCTCGATGCTACAACGCACGAACTCGAATTCGCTTCGCCATAGCAGCTGCTTCTTGCCTTAACGCTTCGAGACCCATCTCGGTATGTTTAAATCAGGCACCAAATTCGTCGAACAAGTGTTTACATTTTAACGCGATGGCTCTCGGCGCGTTCAGTTTCAACCCGTTGAGCGAATCGCTGTTCTTGTAACAACTTAAACTGCTCGTCGAACCGTTTATAAATTGGTTCTAACAAAGACAAATTCTCAGTTTCATACATAGTGAGTAAATGTTCGTCGTCGACTTGATCATTAAACACACTGTAAATTCCCGACGGTATAGTCGCTTCGCCGTCGCCTTTTTCGCCATTACCGTCCATCGTAATCCTTTCCTCTGGTCCTGACGGAGTCGCCAATGTTATATCTGTGCATTTGTCTTATAATCAGAAACTCTTCACTTTCACAACGTCATTAATAATAACAACAATTTTATTAAAAATATCAAGCTCTATATACACAGTAGTTTTCATTTACATATTAATGTACTTATTCAAATTAGACACACCTGTGCAAGAATGCATTAAAGCACGCTATATCACAATATCTTTACCAAGTAATGTAACGTGAAAGCCATCCGGTAGGGTAGACAGCAATTGACGAGTGCCCATAAGAAGTAGCTTCGTCTTTTCCGCGTGTTTCTGAGAAGGCTGTGGCTGCAACACCAAGTCGCTACCCTACTGTACGTATATCTTCATCGAGGCGTTTCGCTGCGTCTTCCATTTCTTTAACGACGAAGGAAAGAAACAGTTTCGAATCACCTACAAAGGATTCCAAGGAGCGTGAACTATGTGTACATGGAAGGTTATTTATATGTATACTAAAAAGGATTGGAGATTCCAAGTGAATCAGTGATCGACGTTTAGCAAAAAGAATGGAATGTTCTATATGCTGTCAAAAGCTTTCGAAAAGTCTAGCAGTAACAGTGCAGTAAGATGCTTTTTATTCATTGCTTCCAATATAGTATCAGTTATAAAGATATTCAATGTTTCCGTGGAATGATTTTTTTGTTTCCACTTTGATGTCTTGACAAGTGCTTTAAGCTTAGTCGGATAGGACTGAATAGGTTTTTAATTTTACTGACAAAAGTATGATGCATAAAAACACCCAATATTAGTCCTAATTTTTTAGACCAGCTGTGAACAATAATACTTCAATTAAACCCAAAAGAATTTTATGGGAAAGAAGTAATTATAATATTCTCAGTAAGTGGAATAATTGACCATCATTATGGAAATGCTGTAGGCTGAAGTATTTAAAATGTTTAAGGATGTTGGTTTTTAAATTAACCAGAGCCAAAGATATTTGAAAACACAGTATGATATGTGTCGGTGCTCAAATATCTATTATTTATAAAAAGTGTCGGTAGTCACAACGGTGACAATAACATTTGTGTGGTTAATCTGGTTGAAGCAGAGAATTTTATCTCCTTATTAAAAGGCATGTATTTTGAGGTAGTAGCAAAGGTCTTTCATGAATTCTAAGACAGCCCAGTTGCAAGTTGTACATGGCTAGAAATCTGCGACAACATGGCGACACGCACGCTTAGCTCTTTTGTAATGTAAATATTAAGTGAATAAGTTTAATAACCAGAAAAGCATTACGTTAACTTGCCTTTTCGGCTTTTGTTGGTCCTACAAACCAAATATGACGATTCCATAAATCGATCTTGAATGATAATCATCGTAGCTACGTACTTGTTCACGTTTCAGTTCAAAATTCGATGCAGGCTTTGTTCCCGAAGCAAAACAATTTTGCAGTAATTCGCACATATAATCACGAGCACTTTACTAGTAATCCAGGTTATTTTCACGACGAAAGCCCATAATCGCTTCAGTTTTCAGGCTGATCGTACATCAACATTGGATTTCCATAAATCGTAATCGATACACTTTGTTCTCCCCATGAATTTTATCACAATTTTATCTAAAGATATTATATCAGTACTGTTCCCAAGTGGAGGAAAGAATGGTATATTTTGCCTCTATTTTCCATTTTAAAATCGCCTTGTTACTTCGCTAAAATGCGAGGTAAGCGCATCAAAATTTTGCTTTTCTTAATATTCTTGTTCGTGATTCATATTCTATAAAGGTGAGATAATTATATCAGCTAGTGACATAAAATATTAAATGTTGGACATAATTATGTCACTGACATGACTTACTTATCATTTAGCTATTGTCCATTGTCCAACAGTTTTAAAAAGTCATTTGAAGTCATTTGTTTAGTAAAACAAGCGAGGATTTCTCACTTCTCGAGGAGTTTGAAGTGTTTGCATGTCTTTATTGGGCATATACATTTAAAGAGCGTTTCTTTACGTACTTTCCGGCTTTCAATACGTTCATTAAATTAACATGACGTACTGACGGTGCGTGCGCCTGCATTACAAACCGCTGGCTGTCGCAGATTTCTAGCCATGAGTTGAACCAAAGATATTAGACAGGGTACAATTACAGCTTTTCAAAATATTATTACAGTATATACTATAAGATGCAACTTGCAAATGAAGTATTTCAAAAAATATTTACAGTACCCTAAAATTATAAGTGACTTGTGCCATGACTAAAATTATGTTACAGCTTTGGTTTAAATTTCATAAATCATGAACTAATGTAACTGCATTAACCTCTTCAAAAGAGGTTAAAAAAGTTTACAAAAGCAAAAAAAAGTTTTAAAAAGTTAGATTTTCAAAAAAAGTTTAAAAAAGTTAGATTAGGATTAAGGTAGTGTTAGGGGTTAGGTGCCGCGAATTGTATTGATAAATTCGGACGTGTTTAACAATTTACTCATATAGTAAATTCAAAGGTGAAGCTCATGCTGAACACTCAATTATATAGAGGAAATTGTGTCATAATAAATGCGGAATCTTTTAGGATTTCTTGTTGAAAATTTAAATTTTATCACCCGAAAGTATATTAAACACCCAAGTTGTAATTCTCCAAGCGCACTCCTCTACCACCCCTCCCTAAGTGCAATTTTAATTTAGCGCCCAGAATCTGGGAGCCACGTGACCAGCTCCGATCAGGGTCTTTCTTCCCCAAGAGGGAAGAACCTGGGAACGAGGTTGCAAAAAGTGACCGTTTAACTTCATGATCAATTAAGGTTGTCCTTTCAAAACTCAAAACAGAACATTTCAACTTCTGAGTGCGAAATTTACGATCGGCAGGGGCGTTGCGAATAGGTTTAAGCGGGGGAGATTGGGGGGGGGGTGTATATGGAAACAGGGCGTGGTCTCTCGTTACAGTCATTTCAAATTAAATATTCAATTACATGTAATTTCGGAGTTGGACAAATCTCTATACTGTGCACGTTGACGACGGAATCGTGTTGGACAATATGCTTCATTTCGATAAGAATAACATAAAAATATTACTTGACACCTTAGCAAAAACATATTTAACAAAAAAATGCTCAACAACATGCAATACAAAGCTGTTATTAACCCATTAGATGTAAACATTTCTAAATCAACATAATATAACACTATCCAAAGGCTTGTCTCGCATCCATTCCCCAAAACCAGCAATATACAAGCAAATTTATAACTCTTTCTTAAATACAGAATAAAACATGTACAACAAATACTTCTTCAGACACAAAACAAACACAATTACAGACACCCCTTTAAGCTCCCAAAAAATTTTCACAACCGCTATACCTGATGACAGTAACCTGCAAGATTACATTTCAAACATTTATCATGATCTCAAAACTGAAATTGAGAAACACTAAGAACCTGCAAAACCAAATATATCTAAAGATTAACTACAAGCAATCCATAACCTTAAACTAACTGATAATGATTTGATGGTTAAGCCAGCAGACAAGGGAGGGGCCATTGTAATCTGGCCAAAAGATACCTATCTAGCTGAGGCATAAAGACAATTAAATGATTCAAATCATTACCAAAAACTTACAAATGACCTAACCCCTAGACAGAAACAGAGACACTAGAGACACTAGCAGAAACTAAAAGACTTGCCAATAAACTCCACATATCAGACGTACAGTAACTGACAGTACAACACACAAATTTCTCACAATAGATACACAAGCAAGAACACATCGCTATCCTTTACCAAACAATTCACAAACAGGACACTCCAGGAAGACCAATAATTGCAGGCTGCGGAGGACCGACTGTCAAGCTCTCTCAATATGCTGACCACCTCCTCATGCAAAGCACTCCTAAAACATATACCATCATATGTACAAGACACAACAGATTTCCTCCGCAGAATTTTCTCAATAAATCAAGGCTTACCATATATGACAACTTCATACTTATCATATTTGAAGTTAAGAGCCTCTATACCAACATACCTAATGACCATGGCATCCAAGCCTGTGTAGATATGTTGAATGAAAGCAATATAATAACTCCTGAACTAAAACAATCAGTTATTGAGATTTTATCTCTCATACTTAATAAAAACTCCTTTGCAATTAACAATGAACACTTTCTACAAATCCATGGTACCAATACTTAATAAAAACACCTTTGCAATTAACAATGAACACTTTCTACAAATTCATGGTACCACTATATATGAGATCATCTATATATGGCACCCACCTTTGCAAACATATTCATGGCAATATTGGAATGGAAGCTTCTCAACGAAGTATCACAGGGTCTTATACCAATTAAATGGATAAGATTCATAGATGACACATTTGCAATTTGGACCCATGACATTGAAAAACTCCAGAAATTCTTATCATACATTAACAACTTCCATCCCACAATTAAATTTGACTATACTCATGCTCATAAAAATCAGTCAACTTCCTTGACACAACTATTTACATTAATTCCAACAACAGGCCCAAATCAGACGTATACATCAAACCAACTAGTAGAACTCTACTCCTGAATCAATATTCCTCCTACCCGCAAACATGCAAAAACTCTGTTATCTACAGCCAAGCAATACGATATATACGCATCACCACTAACAGTAAGAAACTACAACAAAGACTGGACAACGTACTTATTGCCAATACGATATATACGCATCACCACTATCAGTAAGAAACTACAACAAAGACTGGACAACGTACTTATTGCACAAACATGACAACATTATCCGACATCCTTTAACAAAGCACTACTGTACACACAAAATGACCTACTTAACAAAACAGAAAATGCAAATAAAGCAACTAACAGACCAATCTTTGCAACTCAATACAACAGTAATACTAAGTAAATGCATTGCACAATGGCTAACCACACAAGCCCGCCGTACATTACAGCTATTAACACCCATCCGATCCCTAAACAATAAAACAAACACTCAAGTACAGTACGTTATCTCAA